CCCCCTGGCCCAGCGTGGGGCGTGGCTTTCCCCCCTGGCCCAGCGTGGGGCGTGGCTTTCCCCTTACTGCTGAGGCTTGTTGCCGCCCTCTGGACACTCTAGAAGCAGCCCCTGGCCCCTGAGATGGCTGAGGCATGGTCCCTGCCTTTGCTGCCCTGGCACAGAGCAGAGTGTGGGTGGCACAAGCTATGGGGACGCTGAGGCTATGGCTGTCCCGAGGAGAGGAAGGCAAGAGGGTGCGGGTGTTGCTGAGGTGCAGGACTTTGGGGAATGGGGTGGGAGGACTAGCGCGGCCCCTTTCCTTTCAACACCCGCCCGCCCTGTTCCCCTCATTTCTCCAGGTGGCCCAGGAGGAGATTGCAAGTATCCTGGCTTTCCTCATTCCCTTCGTAGCCTGTATTTTCCAGGTGGGTGAAATGCTGGTCGCTGGTGTCCGGGTAAGTGGGTTAAGCCCATGGCCTTTTTGTTCTTGTGGTACAATTGTGAGCAAGGGTCTGGTCCCAGTCTTACTCCGCCAAGGCCTTGATCCAAATCCTAAACCACTAAGGCCTTCATGGAAAAACCTTGGCCCAGTCTGCAGAGTCCTTGCATTTGTGGAGGAAGAACTTTGGGCATGGAAGTGAAAGCCATCTGCTTTCACGGGGCCACTGAGAACAGCAGACCCACAGTGACCTGATGGTCCAGCATAGAGTGACCTGGCACAGGCAGTGGCAGTAGTTTATAAACCAGGTCAAAAGTTGCAGGTGTGTGTGTGTGTGTGTGTGTGTGTGTGTTTATAGTGATACCTTCTTCAGATCTGTTCCTTCGGGAATGAAACAAGAATTAGGTCAGTAGGAAGGGACTATAGCCACGTGCAGCGGTGCCCGCCTGTCACCCCTGCTCCCGTGGCTGCTCCCTCTCTTCATAGCCAGCGGTGTTCTGAGAATGAGAATGTGCTCTTTTAAAACAGTATTGAGGGGCTGGTGAGATGGCTCAGTGGTCTAAAGCACCTACTTAGAACAAGCTAAGCTAAGCAAAGCACAGGGACCGCGGTTCAATCCCTAGCACCACATGCCAGCCGGCCCCGCCCCCTGGTGGGCCGAGCTGGCCACACATACTCTCTCTTTCTCTCTCTCTCTCTCAAATAAAAAAAAAAACAACAACAACAAAAAACAGTATTGAACTAGAACACTGTTCCCTGCATTTGCAGAGCAGGCGTCGCCCCGTTCCCTCGTGGGATCCCTGCAGGGAATCCCCGCCACGCTGCCTGCTGGGAGACCTCCCTTGGCTCAGAGATGCTGCGGAGAGCAGCAGGCCCAGCGCCCAGAGCGCTTGCAGCTCGAGGGCAGCAGCTGCCTCTGCGCGCTTGCTGTGGGTGGGGTGGGGGTGGGGAGCTGCACAGGGTCTCCGGGCCTGGCCCCTGCGGCGGCCAGCTCCTGGGTCTGCAGCCCAGCGCAGCTGAGGGGCTGCCTGCGTCTTTGTCCTCGCCTGCAAGCGCGCTGCGCCCCCAGCTCCCGGCTCACCCGGCCCCTGAGTCGCCTGTGGTTTCTTGCAGTGCTACCTGTACCTGTTCTACAGCCCGGGGCGCACGGCCAAGGTGCTGCTGCTGCTGCTCTTCATCTGCCTGGGCAACGCCTACCTGCATGGGCTGCGCAACCTGTGGCAGATCCTCTTCCACGTGGGCGTCGCCTTTCTGTCCTCACATCAGATTCTCACGCGACAGCTGCAGGAGAAGCAGTCGGACTGCGGCGTGTGAGGCCGCGTGCAGGCACTGGCTTCCTCAGAGGTCGGTCCTTGCCTGCCTTCCGCCTTCAGACCTGACCTGTTTCTGGCTGTGGCACTCGGGTGCAGAGCGGGAGTGAGGGTCCCAGCAGGTCCCGCCGTCCCGCGCGCTGAGGACGCCCTGGCCTGTGAGCTGAGCATTGGCTCTTTATCATAACAGGCTGTCTCCAAAGGACCTACATGGCCTAAGTGTAACTGTTTTTTCCTTTGAAAGAGGGTCAGAACAGGGGAAATTAGATACTTAAATGTGGTTCATAAATACAAGCTAGACAAATTTTGTTTATATTTTTGAGAACTTAGGTTTGCTGTACCTTTGGAATATTTATATTTTGATCTATTTTTTTTTCTTTTTTTTTGGTACTGGGAATCGAATTCAGGACCTTGTGCTTGCCAGGCAGACACTTTGCCTGTGAGCTACATCCCCTGCCCCTTAGAAATAAATTGAACTTGAGTAAGATGAGAACAAATTTAAGCTGAGAAAATGGTGAAGAAATCTTGAGTTTATTTATTAAAAGGGTCTCTAACTGGAGACACATTTTGTATTTTCTAAATTAGTTAAGCACCAGTGGATCCACAGCTTGGAAGCAGGAGCGAAATAAGGCTCCCAGGGTGATGGGCTCCGGCCGCACAGTGGAGGAGACCAGGGAGGGGACTCCGTGGTGCGTCCCGGGTGCCGTCACTGTCCCTGCCTGTCATGTTGCTGCCAGTGAATGGAGGACCCTGTGCACCTCTTTGCAGAAGGCTTCTCAGATCAGTTACTCCTCAGTACCTTTCCCAAGAATCTTGATTAGATCCAGGCCTCATTTTTAATGAACAAAAGCCAGGATGTAGCTGGGTGTGGTGGCCTCCAGTCCCAGCAGTCTGGGAGGCTGAGGCAGGAGGGTTGCAAATTTGAGTTCAGCCTGGGCAATTTAGCAACACCTTGTCTCAAAATACAAAAAAATTTAAAAGGGCTGGGGATGTAGCTCTGTGTGATAGCCGTGGGTTCATACCCAGTACCTCAAGACAAATAAAAGTAGAAGTTAACTTTCTAAAACTTTATAAAGGTATAATTGATACATTATTAAAAAATTGATTATCATTTTCCAAAATAAGGCTGAGTGAGGTCCCTGAGGTCTTGGCGGCCTGTCTGACAGCGTCACGGCTGCAGCCTCTGTGGGAGTCCCCTTTGGACTGTCTGAGAAGCCTGGAGTCTGAGGAGCTCAACCACAGCTGCCTGGAGTGCTTGGAGTTGGGCTGTGCGGTGTGACCGGCCGGCCGTAGTCCTGTCCTGTTCTGATAGTGTCAAAAGGTGGAAAGCGTTGCGCAAGCGAGGCCCTGGGTGGGTCAGCTTTGCTGGCTATTACTGTGTTGTGGCTGAGCTACCTTGGAGTCATTTGAGGAAAAGCAAATTTCTGTGGCCTGGAACTGGAACGGGGGAAATGTTACCACAGCAACTGTCTTCTCTCGCACTGGACTGTTCCATCTTAGCTAACACAAATCTGGATGTGAAAACTGTCCTGGCAGTGTCATCAGGTGTCACCGTCGAAGTTGCTTCTCCTGATTTTCCTTCCTTGTAACCGGGGAGTTCTGTCTTCCTGGGAGGTCACGTTAGGTCGTACAGTAGGGAGGGAGGCCACAGAGGGAGAGCCCTTTTGCACGAGAAGCACATATGAGAAGCTTGGCAAAACACAGTACAGAGGCACACTTACTTTGAAGCTGCAGTGGCTTGGTGTTGTCATGTGGCCCTGGGCCCCAGGTGCTCCAGCACCTGAGCTGTGACCCCTGTGCGGCCAGCAGGTGAGAAACAGTCCCCAAAGGTGGCCTTCGCTGGTGCCCACAGACGCTGGTGCCCACAGACGCTGGTGGAGACCTCCGCCCCTGGCCGGGTGTGCTCGGTCGGCATCTCGGTGGGGTGAGGTTCATTCACATCTGCAAGCAGATCCAGCCCAGGAGCGCAGCAGCCCTGCGAGGCCCGAGGCCCGCTGGGGGAGGCCTACTCACAGGAGAAAGAGGCTGCTGACAGGAAGGTCTGCTGATTTCTCCAGGGAGACCCAGGCTTGGTTCAGGTGTGGATGGCGCAGCGCCCTGTGTGGTCTGATGCCAGAAGCCGGCTCCACCGGGCAGCTGGCTCCACCCAGCAGCTGGCTCCGCCTGCCCTGGGCATGCTGCTGGCCGAGCCCTTGTTTTCCTGAGGTCAGATGATACCTGCCCATCTCCTCAGGGAGGAAACTGTTGAGACAGAACCTTCAGGTGCCTTCAAGGGTCTCTTGTCCTCACCAGTGTGTAGTCCCCTTTCCCTGGGACTAGCTGAATGTGATGTAGACTGGACAGCAGGGCCCCGTGGGGTGGCCGTCCCTTTGGGGACCAGAGGCCCACAGCCTGACTCCTGGGCTGGCCACTTGCACTCACGCCTGTTACAGAGAAGCCTGTGATGTGCGCCGGGAACCAGCGTCTGAAGCTGTCCAGGCTGGGCAAGGGTGGTGGAGGAGCACAGGGAGGAGAGGTTGGCCGTCCTCTCCCGTTTCCTTCCTGCGCACCTTCTCTGTTCCCCCAGTCCCGGACACAGACTCGGGCACCTGGCTCTGGAGGGAGGTGCTCTGACTGCAGAGGAGAGGGTGCGTGGGCTCCCAGCACTGCTCACAGACAGTGACCGTGGGGGGCTGTGAATGGGTCTGAGGTGGGGAGCAGACCTAGGGGCTCTGTGCTTGGAGACAGTGGCTGTTCCACTGTCCAGGGCCACTGTGGCCGTTCCTTGGGGGCCCTGAGAGAACCCATTTCCAGTGTGCAAGGTGCAGTGGAGGTGTGAACAGGTGGGTACAGGGCATAAGCAGGACATGGCCCCACTCCACGTGTCCCCACCCCTGCTGGGGAGGTCCTGCCTGTGCACTGTGGGTGCTGCAGGTGGGGGGAGGGCAGGATGAGCCCTGAGAGACGGGGGTGGGGTGGGGGGGTTGTCCTGGGCAGCTGTCACAGGGAAGTGGCTGCCCTTCAGCCTCAGTTTCCCTCTCTGGGAAATGGTGCTAACATCACTGAAAATCCTGGTGTGCGCTGTGGTAGTGGAGGGGACTCGTGGGAGCTTGAGGTCAGTGTGAGTTCACCTGTCCCCAAGCTCCGCATCCCCGAGCTGCACAGAAGGCGTGTGCCCTGCTGCAGTGGGAGGAGCTCGACTTCCAGCGCTGACCCTGGGCTGCCTCTTGCTGTGAGGAGGACTTGCCCTGGACTGCAAGTTTCTGTTGCTGGGAAACTGACTCAGCAGGGACCGCGGAGCAGGATCCTCTTTAAAATCTGCACGAGCTGGAGAAGGAACATCCTCCTGGGTGTGAGGGGCCTGGCGGGGCTCAAGGGCACTTCCCTTCAGTACCGCCTTCAGGCCCGTGCTAGTCCTAAGCTGTGCTGGACACACTTGCCTCTGGCCCTGGTCTCCGTGGTCATGGGGTAGCTCCGACAGACCCATTCATGGCTGTTTGTGGGCTGTGACCCCAGGACCAGCTCTGTCGGGAGGAATTTCTGGCTGTGCTGCGACCGACCAGAGCTGGTGTTGATGTGTAGAAGTCGAGCAGCCATTTGTATACAGTGTGTGGAGGCTCTGCGTGGCGTGTGCAGAATAAATGCGAGCTGTTCACGAAAGTATGTTCTTTATGAGACGCGTCTCGTGCACGGTGGGTGGGTGTGGGGAGTGTGACATCTGGACAGGTCAGCATTCCCATGTGCTTAGCCCAGTCCCCAGCAGCATTAGTCCTGGCTCGGGTGCTGGCTCCGGGTTCCTCTCTACCCAGGGCCACCAGGGGGCGCAGCTGCCTGCCACAGCCCAAGCCCCAGCCCAGGTCCCTGGCCCAGTAGCAGCTGACAGAATTCCCAGAGGTGGCAGGTGCCCCATTCTCCCAAGCAGCACTGCATATGAGGGGCAGGCAGCTCTGCGTCATTTGTCCGGAGCCTGAGGCTTTGGGAGGAGGTGAAGCTTCCTAAGTAAGCCCTCGAATGGTGGTGGGGTCCTGTGGCCTACAGGCAGGCAGAGCAGGGGGAAGCTGAGTCCTGCCGCAGCACAGCCCCGAGCTCTGGCCCTGGGCTGAGACCAGGTGCTGCCCACTCACCCCGGTTCCTTCTGGGGAGGAGTCAGGCTGATGGGTTTCTCCGTTTCTCCTTGGGCAGTGACCATGCAGGATGGGCGCACGCGGCAGCACCCCTGTGCGCACTCACCTCCAGACATCCCGACTGGCTCTGCAGCGAGCAGCGTGCGGGGCAGGTGTGAAAGGCAGCGTCCTCGGCGTTCACTGAAGAGGGTACTGAGCACCCTCGGCCTGGAGTGGAAACGTTTGCCTTTGCGGGCCCTGGCAGTGCGCCTGCGTTTCGGGGGCTGAGGCAGGAAGACTGTGAGTTTGAATCCAGTCTGGGCAAAGTTAGCAAGACTCTGTCGTAAAATTAAAATATAAAAAAGTTAACCCTGAGTTCAATCTCCAGGGTAGAAGAAAACAAAAACAAAACAAACAAACCCCCAATGCAATGGGAGCAAAAGGTACTCCTTAAACATGTCAGGCAAAACCCAGAAGACAAAATGGTTTTTTTTTTTTTTTTGGCCGCCCCCCATTGACCTGCAGCAGCGCTGGTCTGGGTTGCCTTGAGTATGTGGGAATGGAACCACCAAAATTTTATTGAATTGAATTTTTTTTTTTTCAGAACTGGGGATTGAACTCAGGCCCTCACGCTTGACAGGGAAGCGCTTATTCCACTGTGCCATCCCCCCCTCCCCAAACATTTTCTTTTTTTTTTTTTTTTTTTTTTTTTTTTTTTTGTGGAACCGGGGATTTGAACTCAGGCCCTTGTGCTTGCCGGGGAAGCGCTTATTCCACTGAGCCATCTCCCTGGCCCCCCAGAAGACAAAATGATTGATAAACTTGATTTCAAAGAAGTATCACAGTCACAGAAAAGAACAGAACATACTCAGTGCTTGAAACTATTTGGGGTTAGTGTCAAAGCACTTTGTACAAACCAGTGACTTCAGAGAGTAATCTTAAGGAAAATATGAACAAGTCACAAGAGAGAAAACCCCAAAAGCTGACACACCCAGGAAGATTGACACAGAGAACAACATGAAGCACTAAGCCCTGGAGTAGCACTCACCAGAACGGAGGCCACCAAGCGCAGGAGGCTGGGCGTGAGGCCACTCCGCCACCCGCAGCAAGGAGACACACTGCAGAGCCAGGCAGCCTGGGGCTGCCCCAAAACTCCCACGTTGAAGACCTGGTAGACTGGTGTAGGAGCTCATACGGAAGTTCAGGTAAGATGGCACGAGCATGGGTCCTTTTATGAAGAGATTAGAGCTGGGTGTGTGGCACATGCCTATAGTCCCAGCACTTGGGAGGCTGAGGCAGGAGGGTCACTGAATTTGAAGCCAGCCAGGAATACATAGTGAACGTAAGCCCAACCTGGGTGGGCTACATATCAAGACGCTGTCTCGGAAAACAAAAAGTAAAAGAGGAAGAGGGAAGATTAGGAGGCAGGAATGGGCACGTGAAGGGTGAGGAGACAGCACTGCGTGCCTGGATTTCACACGTCAGGTTACCCGACGGCCCTTGCCGGGCGGCAGCAGCACATCACGCAGGCCCACACCTTGTGTCGTGGCGTCTCCGTCCCATTCTCTGGGAACACACAGACCCCTAGGTAACAGGTGTAAAGATAAGCGTGCGTGGAAGTGGCACGTGACCTGCGGCAGCAGCCAGCCACACGGAACCCAGTGCGAAGCGATGGCGCCCTGTGCAGGCCCACCCCGAGCACCCTGGACTTAGACGTGCTCTGGCCCATAAGTGGAGCTTTCCACCTTAGAGCTGAGTGGAAGGTGACTTCGGTACGGCTGCTCATACATGCACCAAAGGGAGAGAGCTTCGTTGGGGTGGATGTGAGGAGAGTGCGCAAGATTGCGTGAATGGCGGGGCTAGCGCCAGTCTGGGTGCCCTGGCAGAGCGAGGTGGCCTGTGCCTGGCCCCAGGGCGCGAGCTCCAGGGCTGCTCTCGCAGTACCTCCAGCTTCCCAGGTGGGGTGGGGTGGGGCTGGCCTGGGTGGGCACCTGTCCACCCCAGACCGGTCACGCCGAGGAAGGGCTCTTCCAGAGACAAGGGACGCAACTGCAGTGGGCAGCAGTGACCCCATGCAAGTCCTTCTAGCCCCGAGATAGCCTGTGCTGACCCCAGGACAGGGTGGCGGAGGTGGCCAGGACCATGGGGACAGCGATGTGGGGCAGCACCAGGGTGACATTTCTCCTGGAGCTGTCTGGTGGGGCTAGGGAGGCAGTGCCCAGCCCACCAGAGGCTGGGAGCCTGGGCCGCCGGCTGGAGGGTCTTGGAGCATCCTGGCACCATCTTGTAGGCACTGTCTTGTCCCAACACTGGCGTCCGAGGGGACACTTCCCTCTCTCCATCCCGGGGCCAGCCAGCGCCAGCCACAGGAAGCAGCCTGTGCCAGCCCCGCTGGGAGAGTAAATATTAGTCTGTTCAAGAGCTGCCTGCTCTCTGTCACTCGGCACAGAGGACACTAAGCCGGGAGGGGCCCTTGGGTCCCCACTCCCGGAGAGCCTGTGGCCGGGTCGCTGGAGGGGCTGGCCTCTGCGTGCTGGCCCTGCCGGCCCCTGCCCCTGCCCAGGGGCTTCGATTGCCCTGACCCTGTGCCACCTTGCTGTCACCAGCACAGTCCCCGACACTGTCGAGGCTGTCTGCAAAGGCCGAGACTGGGCGTTTTGGCCTGGACGTGAGGTTGCTAGACCCACACCGAGGCCCCGTGGACAGACGGGGCTGCCCTGCCTAAGCTCCTCAGCAGCTTCTTGGTCCTCATCTCCACACGGAGCTCTTCTGGGTGCCCTTGCCTCTGCCAAGGGCTTGGGAGCAAGCGACACAATGACGTTGTGGGGTGACATTCTGAAAACACAGTGCACAGTACCTGCATCCATGTGCCTGGGTTCTAGTTCCAAAGGCCCAGCTGCTGTGTCCAGAAGGCCAGGGAGTGGGACAGGAGGGAAGACAGCCGTGTGACAGAGTGGCCCCACAGCCCGTCTCTTCCGGTGGCTCTCCCAGGGGACAGCATTGCAGCTGCGGACTCAGGACAAGGTGTGGGTGAAGACGCTAGCCCCAAGCTCCCGGGGTGGAAGGGTGCAGAGCTCCCACCTAGCGTGAGGGCTGTGGTGCGCAGGGGCTGCAGCCCTGATGCCCACACCCGGGCACTCCCGGCAGCCTCTCCTCGGGCCCCTGCTGCTGCTGCAGTGCCTGGGAGGCACAGCGGGACTCTAAAGGCTCGGGATGGGAGGTAGTTCTTCCTGAGTGAGTGGGCAGCAGTGGACACATCCTTCCTGGATGCCTGGGACAGTGACAGCTGCCTCACAGTCACATGGAGTGGCAGGCAAAGGGGACCTGCACAAAGTGTCCCATGTGGTGCATGAGGACATCACGGAGCCGCTGACCTGGCGGAGCTCCTGCTGCTGGTTGGCATCAGAGGGGGCGTGGTTTTCCTCTGAGCCCAGGGAGGCCGCCAGGCCTCCTAGGTCCCTTCCACGCTGACCTCTAAGCTCAGGGGTAGGGGGACCCTGCCTTTGGGGTGAGGCCAGAATGCAAAATTTAAGAGGGAAGACAGAACAACGGGACAGTCAAGGTAAATAACAGTTTAATGCAATATTTTTTAAAAAATCAATATTAATGCAAAAATACATGATGAATAAAATATGAAGATTAAATACAGATGGAATCTGTGTCGCTGCTGGACCTGCTCATCCTGTTTCCACACAGCACATTGCCTCTGAGGAGCTGGCTACCAGGGCAGCGCCAGGGTCCAAGGCCGGCTCTGGCTGTGACTAGACAAACCCCTTTCGTCCCCGAACTTCGGGCCCCGTGCCCCTGAAGAGGCTGGGGTGTTGCTATGATGGTGCTCTTGTCCCCACAGCCCGCCGAGGTTCCTGTCCCTCTCCCGGGAGGCTGTCTGCAGGGCCACTGACTCCTAGCTATTAATATCCTGCACTCCTGGCCAGAGCAGGGTGCTTAATGACTGCCAGCTGCGCTCAGGCCCCCTCCCTGGGGACAGATAAGACCAGTTCCTGTTCCCACATGGGGGAGCGGGCCAGGCCAGCAGTGGGAATGCAGGGCCGCTGCTGACCCCACGCCCCGCCCACCCTCCCCTCCCCCATGGGCCCTGGCCTGCCCATTGCTCTAGGTGCTCAGCCATGGTGTGTGTGTGTGTGGGGGGGGGCACTGGCAACTGTCCCAGGTCTCCCCTCACCCTCAGCCTGGAAGCCTGCTCCTTGCTCCCACTGGCAGGTGCCCTGCCGTCTGCTCACCAGGGCTCTGGAGTCCCTAGCCTGCAACATGTGTCCTTAGGGCCTGGAGTGCACCTCTGCCAAGGGGCTGTCTTCCTGCGGTGCCAGCAGATTGTCCTGGGGTGGCAGGGCTGCCACACCTGGTGGTCTGTCTCAGAAAAGGGGTGACAGCCAGCTGGGCTGTGAGGGTGGGGTGGCAGGGCCAGGTCCAGCCCATGCTGGCAGACTGTGGGCCCTGGTGTTCCCTGTCCTAGACTCACCCTGGGACCAGCCCTGTGCCTGGCCACCTCCCTTGGTGATGATCGGATGGAGACCATCTTCAGAGCCCCTCAGCCTCCTGGGCAGGGGCTTGCATGGAGACGCTGTGTCCCAAGGCCAAGCGTGGGGAGGCTCTCGAAGCACCCAGCAGGTGGCAATAGGGACAGACTGGCCAGGGCGAAAGGTGACAGCTGAGAGGGGGTAGGACACATGCTGCTCTGGTCACCTTCCTAGGCACCTTCCTTGAGCTCCTCTCCCAGGGCTGTGTCGGCCTCCCCATTCCTGAGCTCTGCACCTTGTTACCTCCCATGTGGGACCCCATGTCTTCCCTCATGCTGTGTGCCGGACTCTGCTTTGCCACCGCCCACCTCTTTAGGGTCACCCTGTTTCCTGCCCTTGAAGCCAGGCTCATAAGGGGCCTCTCATTCTGGGCTGGGCCCTGCTGGCCTTCCTGCAGCTCGAGCAGTTTCTGTCCCTGATCTGCTACTCGGGGAAGGGCCCTGTCTGGCTCTCAAAAAGCCTGGCCATTTGTCCGACCCCTTTCCTGGCACAGTGACCATCTGGTCCTCCAGCGAGGTCACCCCTCCCAGCGTGCAGAGGCATGGGTTGGGTGAGGCCGCCTTGGGCCCCAACAGGTCAGTGACCTTGGTGACCACAGCGCTGGCCTCTTCTGGCTGGTCCCTGTGAAGGGGTAATGCTGAATAAGGCTGCTCCTTAGGAGTGATCATGGCCCAGAGCTTAACCATCTTGGGGGACCCCAGCCCATCCTGGCCTAGCGGGAGCCCCGGAGTAGTGCTTCTGGGCTGGCTCAGTTGGGGACCTGTGCTACAAAAACTGTCACACTCAGAAAAAAAGGATATGCCTCCAAAAGAGGTGAGTTGTTTGACGTACAGAAATGTGGGCTCCCCACCTGGGGCCTAGGCCTGGGTGGTTTCTGGCTTTGGCATGTTTTGGACCCCTCCTCGGGGTAGGAGTGGGGGCTACAAACAGGAAGCCAGGCCACACAGGCCTGGGTGCTCCAGGGCACTAAGCCCAGCCAGGTGAGCCCTCAGGGCTGCCTGCTACAGCTCAGGGTCTTCAGGCCCGGGCTGGGCCATCAGTCTGCGTGGCCCCAAGGGTGAACAGTGACACAGGCTGCTGTGCCAGTGCCAGGCTGGCCTCCTCAGCCACACTCCGGGATGGGGATTCAGGGATAATGGCACTAATGACTCAGGGTGACACAGCCCCCAAGAGGATCCTGCTGCTAGGGCTGTAAGAAGGCAGTGAAGAAGAGTAGTTCTCTTCCCTCGGCTCTGAGTTCAAATCCTCGCTGGGTGATTGGCGAGCACCCACTGTCTCTGAGACTCGGTTTCCCCATCTGTGAGACAGCTGGGTCAGCCTGAGGCTAAGGGGCCACAGTGTCTGCAATAGGTGACACTGGCGTGAGCGCCCAGGGGGCAGCTTGACTGCTTTGGTTGTGAGTAAGGCTGGTGTGACAGATCCCACATGACAGGAAGCCACGAGGCCCAGTAGTGTGTGTGCCTGGGTACAGCGGCCTCACTGCTGGAGGCCCAGGGGCACCTGGGTGCCTGGGCTGAACTGCTCCTCCCTCCAGAGGGATGCTGGTGCCTGCTGCCCGCCCCACTCCTCAGACCCCCCAGGAGCCAGCCCGTGCTGGAGGTAGAGAAATGCACTCGCCCTGAGGAGCTGGCATGGAGGCACCAGGCAGGAGTCCACAAAGTTTGCCCTTAGTGAGCCCTGCAGTCTGAGGGTGACCTCCCCGCACTCATATCGAAAACTTCGCTGGAGGCCAGAAGAGCTCTGAGGGGCGAAGCCAGGAAGAGAGGACTAGGGTGGTCCTTGACCTTGATTGCCCTGGACCCCGGGAGTGGTTCTGCGGCTGGCTGCAGGTTGCACAGGGCGCCTGTGGCTCAGACGAGGGAGACCTCGGCCTGGAAGCTGGAGGAGCGGCGTGCGCCTGGGCTGACGCGGGTCAGCATGGACACCTGTGTGCTGCATGTGGCACCCGTGCTGCCGCCCCATGGGGGTTGGGACTTGGTGGAGCAGCCTAGTATGCCCTTCAGGTGCCAGCGCCGCCACTTCCGCCGCAGCTCCGCCTGTACCTGGGAGAGGGAGGCAGTCAGGCCTGAGCTCCAGCCCGCTGCACTGCGCTGCATGGTTCAGCTGAGTCGGGACACTGGAGAGGCCTGGTTGCTGTCCTAGGCGGTGCAGACTTGAGGGGCGGGCATAGGGGACACCCACCCCTGTGGGTGGGGCATGTGACCTGGGGTGGCTGTGCCTGAACCTCCCACCCATGGGTGCTTGCTGGCCCTGCATGTCCACTCTATGTCCATAGCCCTGGCCAACCACACCTCAGCTCAAGGGAGCACGGAGCTCCCCATACCCAGGGGCTGCCAGAGACAGATCTGTGCCTTGAACCAGGTTCCTGGTAAAAGAGCACAGCAGTCTGAGCACCAGCCTGAGGTAGCAGGGTGTCACCCCCACCCTGGCCCAGGAGGGGCTCACCTCGCCGTTGAGGAAGCAGTAGAGGACGGCCACCACAAAGCCCTGGGAGAAAGGGACAGGGCAGGTGAGGACAAACCCCAGGCCCCCGCCTAACCTCCATCCCCTGCTTCTCTTTAGGGACCAGGCCCAGCAGGAAGTGGGCATTGGCCCAATGTTCGTTACAGTGCTGAGCCAGAGGCCAGCAGGCCCAGGCCTGTGCTGAGTTGCCTGGAGCGCCCCGTAGCCCCCAGCTCCTACCTGGAAAGACCCCACGACGAGCTCGAAGACCATCTTCACCTCAGCCTTGAAGTTGTCAGGGAAGAAGGCAAACATAACGTAGTGCACGCCGAAGAGGGGGATCAGCAGGAGCGTGGACTTGGCCAGCCTCCTGGGGTGGGAACAGCCACAGGCACTGAGGACCCACACACGTCCCCCACACCCTGCCCGCCTTGCTCCTTCCTGGCCAGTCATTGCCCCTGCCTGGCCTCCTAGAGACAGGATATCCCTGGTGCTCACCCTTCCCGAGAGAAAGGTGGGCACGTGGGCACGTGACAGTGGGCTTTCAGCTACCAGGGAAGTACTCCCAGGCAACAAGAGACCCTGGCTTCCCTATCCTGGTCAGCTTCCCCAGCCTGTACCAGTGTACACACAACACTGCAGATCTGGGGCTGCTGGGAACTCAGGAGGGTTCTGGATGCTTCACATGCAGCCTCCAAGAGAACCAGCCCCTCCCTGGGCAGAGGTCTCTCCCACGAAGTCCCAGGTCACCTGAGAGGGCAGTGAGTGTCTATGTTGTACCTGGTCACCAGGAAGCCTAGGACCGGCCAGTATCACCCTCCGTCTCTGGCTTTTCTTCCATGCCAAGGACTTGGCCCTTCCTGGCCTTGCACCCCATGCCCACTGATACCTGGCTCCCAGATGCCCTGCGGGGCCAGCTCCTCCTTCCCTGCCTGTGCCCAGCAGGGGCAGTGTGCACAGCACTTGTCCTGGTCCTGGCCTGGGCAGCTGGCCACCGAGCTGGTCCAGGCAGGATGGGCACAGGATTCCTGGCCTGGGAGCTCTGGGTGGGCCTGGCAGGAGGCATCGTGCGTGGCTCTGGGCAGAGGAACGTCCGCCTCTCCTTACCCTCCTTCCTGGGCCTGACGGGTGGATCTTGAGCTGCCCGGCACAAGCCTATCCCACGCACTGTGCCGCTGACAGATGGAGGCCTTCTTTAGCTGGAAGCCTCACAGTGGGTGGAGCGGGAGCCCACGGCTCCTCCCGGGGAAGCGCCCCCTGCTCGCCGCCCCTGCACCTGCTGCCAGCTATTTCCTGTCCTGCTTGTGCCCATGGACCTGGCAATGACGAGCCTGGGCCTTGCCTGTGGGGTCCAGCCCTGCTGGGTGTCACATGGGGAGGACAAGGTCCCCACAAAGGAGAGGACGAGGGTGCGCAGGTGGGGTGCAGGCCCCCACGGGGCCTCCCTCCTCCAGCGGGAAGGATGCCCCACCACGTGTGGGTGGGAGCTGGGAGCTGCAAGCTGTGTCTCATCTAAGGAGCTCACGATTCCAGAATAGATCCCTAAACCCAGCCGTGCGCGACATCCTTATGGAGCCTCAGACCCACCTGTTCCCATGAGAAGCCAGGCCAGGACACCCTAGGCCCCTGCTCTGAAGGCGCCTGTGGGGTGGGGCTCAGGCTCCACCTCCCCTGGGGCACCGCTCTGCAGACCCCCAGCCTGGGCCCTGCGCCTGCCCTGCCCACCCCACACTGAACCCTGTAGTGGCTGCTGGTGTTCTTGCAGGTGGGGATGATTCCCAGGGATGATGTACAGTCCAGAGCCCTGCACATGACCCTCTCCCAGGTGTACGGGGCTCTGAAGGGGACCCCTGGAGAACATTTACTGTACCCCTTTGCTGTTCCAGGAGGGGGCAAAGTGCAGCCTCGTGGGGGTAGAGGCAGGGGGCCTCTAGGTGAGGGGCAAGGGCAATGTGGCCTCTAGTGACTCTGGAAGTTTGGCTGGGGTCCTTGGAGAGGCCAAGGGGTGGTGGGACCCAGGCTCACTCACGAGTAGGGGCTGCTGTCAGTCTTCCCGACCTCGGGGGGCCGCAACTTCTGCATCAGGATCCGGATGATGCAGATGAACAGGACAAAGTTCACCTGGGGATGGTGGGAGAGGCCCGGCTGCATGCCCTGTGTTCTGGTAGCCCCTCTTGTTCTGGGGACCCCATGCCATGTCACCCCAGTGCCTGCCCGTTAGGGCACCGCCGCTTAGCTGGCCCTCACTCCAGTTACTCCATTAATTGGTGGCATGGGGTGGTGGGAAGCCTAGACCCAGCCGTGTCACTCACTTCCTAGACAGCCTCAGTTTCCCCTTCTCTGTGATGGAGGAGCCCTTACCAGGATGGAGACGAGGATCGGGCCCTTGATGATCCACCACAGGGAGGAGGTGATGGTGTCCCAGCACCTGCGTGGTGGGGCATGCGGCAACGTCCTTGGCCTCGGCTGGCTGCCCCACATCCACCACAGCACCTCCCGCCCAGCTGCACAGGGCCTTAGGGCCTTAGAGACTGAGGCCCTGCCCCTCCTGGTCCTCCCCCTGCCCCCGGACCAGGGGCTGTGGGCTGCCCCAGGCTGGGCTGGACCACTGGGGGGGGCACAGAGTGACTGCTCACCCGAAATCCTCCATGTGGATCCTGGTGACAGTCCATATCATGATGAATGTGCTGGGCACCCCTACGAGGGGCACAGGGGAGAGAGGAAAGGAAAGGGTACAGGGCGCGGGGAGGAGGAGGGGGCGGGGAGAAGGAGGGGGCGGGAGAGACGCAGCTGAGCTTTCAGGGCTGCCCGCAGCTGCTGCCTGGGTTGCTAACTGGGCGAGATGCTCCTTTGACAGCTGTGGGCACAGCCCCAGAGGACAGAACTGTCTAACTCCCACGGGGCTCCCTGTCAAGGGGAAGGGAAGGATCTGGACCCACCTGCAGAGCAGCCTCAGTCTGCCCAGGGTCACATGCCCCAGGGACTTTTATCACCAGTTGGACCCAAGACTGCAGGGGGACCCCCCCAGAGACCCCCCAGGCCCTGCCCGTCCCCAGCCGCAGTCCTCCCTGGTACCATACCCCAGCCGATGACAATGTACCCCCAGAAGTACTTCCGCTCGGAGAAGAAGGAGACAGCCAGCAGGGTGTGTAGGTAGAGCCCCTCCACCAGCAGCCAGAAGAAGTTGGCCATGACGCAGTACTGGAAGAAGACTACAGCCGCCTTGCAGCCCACCTGGAGGTGGGAGAGGGCTCGCTGTGCCAAGGGGCCTGACCCCAGCTTCCGGCCCAAGCCGCCGGACCTCCACCTTCAACTGTGTGACCCCACTGTTTTCCCCATGGCCCGTGTCTTTTAGGTCATCATTGTGACTTCAGTGATGCAGCCATCTACCCACGTCGAGCTGGTCCCCGCCAACTGTGCCAGCCTGCACCTGCCCTCCGGATGTCCACGCATCTCTGGGTGATCCCACCTGTCCCCTCCATCCACTTCTCCCTGTCCACCAACCCACCCAGGTACGACTGCCTGATCCTCATCTCTCCTGCCCCCTGGGCGCTGCCAACCGGCTGTCCCCTCGGGCTGGGCCCATTTGTCTTACTGCAGCAGGCGGAGCATGGAGGGGCCAGCTGGAGAGGCCAGCAGGAGATGGGGAGGCTGTGCTGCTCAGAGGGCCTCAGAGGAGGGGAGGGGAGAGGGCCACCAGCCCTCAGGCTGCAGGACCCAGGGAGACTGGTCCCTGGGCAGGCAAGGACCACAGGTGAAGGAAGATGGGGAGGGTCTCAGGGTGGCCGCAGCCAGGGCTTCAGCCGCATGGAAACCCTTTGCGTGCTGTGCCCAGAGCACCACGTTATGCCTCCTTCTCCAAGAGCAGTGTCCCTGGCCCTCCCTGGGCCTGGAAGTCCTTCTGTAGGTAGCACTTGAGCAGCACCCTGCAGGTGAGCTTCCTCCCGCCTCACTGCTCTGCTGTGTGTGTGTGTGTGTGTGTGTGTGTGTTCCACATGCGCAGCTGGTGCCCAAGACAGGGACCCGCAGCTCTGTCACATCCTTCTCCTCACCCCAGAACAGCTTTGCAGAGCTGCTGAGGAGAGAGGGCTGCTAGCCTCCAATAAGCCCGAGGCTGTGCACCATGCAGCGGGGCTCGGCACCCCCACAGACTTCTTGGGTTTTTGTTTCTTCAGACAGGGTCTTGATATGTAGGTCAGGATGGCCTTGAACTCATGGGAATCCTCTTGCCTCAGCTCTCAACTTCTGGGGCTACAGGGGTTCACCCCATGCCTGGCTATCCCACGCCCTTCTTGAGAGTGAAGATTCCACTATCACAGGCCATGCCTTGGGTCACTCAGGAAGCAGTGAGCCACTGGCCATAGGCAGGAAGGAAGCCAGGCTGCTCCGGAGCTCTTGGTCCCAGCTTGGGGACCCAGCAAGGGCCCCTGAGCTCCAGTGTGGAGGTGGAGCCCTGGGCGATTGTGTGAACCTCGGATCCCTTGTCCTCCCAGGAGGGCCTGGCCTGGTCTGAGCAGGGGAGATGGATGTGCCTGGCTAACTGGGCGCAGTGGAGGGGTGAGAAACAGAGGGGAGCGCAGTGGGCAGAACTGGGCGGGGCAGGGCTGCAGAGCAGTCAGCGAGAGCCTGCACAAGTGGGGAATCTAAGGCAAGGAGGCCTTGTAGAAAGGCAGCAATGGAGGCAGTGTGACAGCGGCCAGGTCACCAGGTGGGACAACGCCCCTGACGGCTACAGCATTGCCTTTGACAGAGGCAAGATGCCAAGAGATGAGGAACAGGGAGAGGAGGGGGGGGGACTGAGGCAAGGGTGGGGCCTCACCGAGCCCTGGGTGCAGTGGTCCAACTCCCCGTTGTCAAACAGGGCCCGGTCTTTGATGAAGACAGCAGCAGCCCGCAGGATGAAGGAGACGAAGAGGTGTGTGTGGATGTAGTTCCGGGTGCAGTGCAGCTTCCTGGGGGTGGCAGAGCTGGCCAGGCCTTGGGCCCCGCCCGCCAGCCCCGCCCTGTGCTTTGGGCAGCCCAGGGCCACCGCTGAGCCCTGCCGTGCAGCCAGGCAGGGCAGGCCAGCCAGGCTGGAAACACCCTCGGGAAGGACACAGGCCAGGTCCCCAGCTCAGCCTTACCTGAACAGGCTCAAGATGGCAGTGGCCACCAGGAGGGTGGCAAGGGACAGGCTGTAGCCGACAGTGTAGCCAGTCTTCACCGAGTGATAGAACAAGGTCTGCTGCTGTTGGGGCATGGGTGAGCTCTTGGAGGGGCAGGCACCACACTGCACACGCCCTGTCCCGGCTGAGGGTCCTGCAGCCCCGGCCTGCTATGGCCCAGCCAGCAGTGAGTCCTCAGGATCCCTCCTGTGCCGGCACCTGGCTCAGCCCCAGGGCAGCGATGGCTGGGCCTCTCTCTGTGTGTCTGGGAGGTGCCCAGCGCAGAATGTTCAAGAAGACACTGGTGCTTCTTCCTTTTGGAGACCCCGGGAGGCAAGCTGGGCTTTGTAGAAGAGGCAGCACTGCCCTGAGCCCCAAGGCTTCCTGTTGTCCCCCCCTCTGATGTCCTCCCAGACACACTGTGTTCCTCTCCTTCCTGCCATGGGGTTTCCTTGTTGGATGTCATCACAGACCCACACAGGCCACTGAGGGTTCCTGCTGAGGCTCCGCCTACCCCAGCCCTCACCCTACCCAAGCCCAAGCAGGTCCAGACACTGCTTGGGCTGCTGGACACAGGTCCATCTGCCCTGCTCCTTGCGGCTCCCTTTTCCTCCCTGCACCCCAAGCTGGTCCTCAGGGATCCTAATAGCCAGCATGGGGGTGACCCACGGGCAGCAGCCTGCCTGGGGCAGAGGAGGAAGGGGCGGGGTGGTGCCCACCTCATCCAGGCTGTACACTCTGTCGTCTAGGCCGCAGGCAGCAGAGTATGGGCCCGGCTCCAGCTGTGTCCAGCCTTTATCCGTGCAGCTACGGCTCACGTTGAGGCCTGGGTGGGGACAGGAGAGGGGGAGGAGGCTGAGGGGGGAGGAGGCCCAGTCCCTGAAGTGGGGACAGCGTGTGGCTTCCCCTGCCCACAACTCTAACCCTGCTGCTGTCAGGCCCTGGCTGCCCTGGAGACACCTGGGGACAGTATCAGAGCGGATACTCAGGCTGTGCTCGGTGGAGGAGGAAGCTGAGTCCAGCGGTAACACAAACTGGTCCTTGTCACAGACTCCTCTTCAGAGGGTCAGTGTGACCCTTGAGCCCTCACCAGCCTGGCCTGATGGCCCTGACAGAGGGAAAGGTGGGGACACCGAACACGGCCGGCAGGCTTTAGGAGTCCTGGGAGGGACCTTCCAGGCAAGGTACATCACCAGCAGAGCCAGGAGCAGCCCTCGAGACGTGACCTGGGGCTGACAGGCTGGGCCAGGGCTGCAGGCTGCAGCACAGGTACAGGAGTGCCCGGGGCTCAGGGGGAAGGCAAACAGTGGGGAGTGGAACGGAGCCCCCTCCACCACCTGGGACCTACTGTGGAGCCCACCACCACTATGGTCACTACTACAGAGTGACAGTTATCAAGGCTACCTTCCACCACCAGTGTCAGCAGCCGTTCCACCCTCAGCCTGTCATGCCAACCAGCTAAGGGCTGTGCAGGGTCCTTTCGGCGGCCTGGCCTGGCTGATGCCTCGCCTCCAAGGCTTCTGGTCGCTGCCGATGCCCACACAGGGAGGTCAGGGCAGAGCTGGTCTGGGCTCTGGAGCGGCCAGAGTTCAGTAACCCTGGCCTCCCTGTACCTGGGGGATGTGTGTTGGGGGGAGCCCCAGGGAGCCAAGCTGTGCACCCAGAGAGGGTCACCGTTCAGTGTTTTCAAAGTGCCATATGCCTGAACACACCAAGGATTCCCTGGCACTGTTTCCCTAAGCCTCGGGCAGCCTTTGAAAGTGTCATTCCCCATGGGTGAGGCTGGGTGAACAGGGCTTGGAGGGACGGTTGGGAAGGAGCTGGGCCCATGTCCACCCAGGGGCTGGGGTGGCCAGGGAGGACTCTGGTAAGGAAGGGCTTTGGGCTGGGTCTGTTTTTTGCCGGGGCAGCAGCAGAAGCTCCAAGACAGACCAGGCTCCTGCTGCCCTCCCGCTTCCTACCAGGGCAGTTGGAGCTGCTGGTCTGGCCTGCAGCCCAGCCTGGGCTCTGAGCTTAGCCAGGACCTTGCTGCCTCACACCCAGGACCTGGTTCTTCTGGGGACCACTGCAGGCGTGGGCAGGTAGAAAAGGGGGTGAGACCCAAAGCAACGAGGCTGAGGCTGGGCATGAAAGCTCCACTCCGGACAGATCTTGTTTGCCGGTACCAGGCTGTGACCAATATCTATACAGCAGCTCATGTTGGGTGTGACCATGTGGTGGTGGGCACAGGAAGACCCCACGGGACATGGTCTCCAGGCAGGGACACAGACCCTGCTCCTGACCCAGGTCCACCTGTTCCCCTGGCACCTTGTCACCCTCTCTGTACAGGTGCTCCTCCACCTGGCCACCCCTGATGCACAATGGATGCTTCTGGTGCCCAGCTGACCATGGCGTCATCCTGTGGAATCCACTGGGTTGCCCTGTCTGGACCAGCGAGGGCAAATGAGTTGGCACAGGACTTCCTGTTGAGGGCCCCAGGGCCAGGCGGAGAGGGACAGGGGTGTCCCACAGAAGCCACAGACATGGCTGACGTAGGCCTTGTTTTGGCCAACAGTATCATCCTTCTGCTTATTCAACCATCTTTTCACATATGTGGAGGTGAAAACACCACAGCTGAAGGACACACAGGCTGTCGCGGGGGGGAGGCCGGAGCTCAGTGAGCAGATGCTCCCTTGGCTGTTCTCTTCCGGGGCCTCCCTCTGCCTTCCACCCTCACCCGGCTGCCCTCTGCTTCCTGCAGCCAGTGCCCTCCCAGGGGGCAAGGGTGGGGTTGGCACTGTCCCTATTCTGCCTTACGGGCACCTCCCTTAGAATCCTAGGGAAGTGATGGAGACCATTATGATGTGGCTTTCAGCAGGATTTATATTAACTGACTGGCTTTTCACGTTTACTTTTGGGTTTGCCCAAGGCCCAGGGACTCTGAGCTACTGGTCCCACGGAGGCCTGTAATGGTGGGCAAAGCCAAGAGGCCTCAAAGGACAGGGTAGGGCCACAGCCAAGGCCACCTGGCCCCAACCTCAGCTGGCTAGAGTACAGCTGCTGGCACCTCACTCGTGGGTGAAGGCCTTCCCAGGGATGACATAGTTCTCCTAAAGTGACATGTGTTACTCCGAGAAGCCTTGAAAGGACTCCCAAGTCCTGCCCAGATGTCTGTATCTTCTTCAGTGTTCCCTTCCTTTGTTTGAAAAACTAATAAAAGCAGTCTGCCCAGAGAAGTTCTTGATCTAAAAGCCCAGAAAATCTCAAACTCATGTGAGAGGGTTTTTGACCCTCCAGGCCCTGAACTCACACCATGTGTCTCATTCATTTAAGCCTCTGCCACCAGGCTGGCCTGATCAGCCCGCCCTAACTAAGGGTGGTATTAATCCAAGAGGGCAGTTGCTCACGCCTTCTGCATCTAGTTGCCAGAAGAACACCTTCTGCCCCAAGCCATTTTTCACTGCTGTTATTTCAGAACTCAGCTCGCTGAGCACAGCCGTGAAGGTGTCCACCGGGCCTAGGCATTGCTGGTGGCCGGCAGGTGAGCTCTGGTGAAAGGTGGGGTCTGCCTGGAGAGCTGCTGTTTCCTTCCCTGCAGAGGCCTCGGGGCCAGCCAGAGGGGTGCACACCCAGGGCTCAGGCCAGGAGCTGCAGGACCGAATCCAGGAGGCTGCTGCTAGGCTGTGCCCTGGGGACCGCCCAGTGCGGGTCTCAAGGAGGCCAGGTGAGATGGGCATGGCCCTGTGCCTGTGTGCTGGGGTCTCAGAGTCCTCGGAATCTCCACAGGGGCCACAGCCCTTGGCCTGGGTGCACTGGGGCCACTCAGAGACTCTTCAGTCTCCTGCCAGCCCCTTTGCAGAGGGGATGGAGGGGTAGGGACTGGCAACCACCTGGCGTTGCCTTCATTACCCTTCTCCTCCACCTTGTTCCTCCTCTCTCCTACTGTTGGGCTGGAACCCAAACGTCTGGCCCCCAAGAAGAAGCTGTTTCAAAGCAGTGCTGGGAATTGAAGCCCAGCTGCTCACACAAGCTAGGCCAGCGCTCCACCACTGAGCTGCATCCCAGATCTTTTAGAATCTTCATTTTGAGACAGGGTCTCAGTAAGTTGTTGAGGCTGACCTCAAACTTGAAATCTTCCTGCTCCAGCTGGGCACGGTGGTGCATGCCTGTAATCCAACACTTGGGAGGCTGAGGCACAAGGGTCGCTGGAGAGTTCGAGACCAGCCTGGCTTACAAAGTGAGCTCGAGGCCAGCCTGAACTGCACAGTGAGACCCTCCAGAGCAGGTGGAGCCCTACTAGGATGGCTGGAAGGCTCACAGCATGGAAGGCCTGGCTCTGGAGGGCTTTCACTTCATCTGTGGACAACTCAGCCATGGGGTCATAGGTCAAAGGGCTGACTAGAAGGCAGGGCTAGCTGGAGGAGGCTGGTCCTGGGGCGTGGCCGTGAGGGTGGCATCCAGCCCTGCCCCTTTCTCCCTGTTCTTCCTTTCTAAGGTAGCATCTTTTCTCCACCGCACCCTTCTGCAAGGATGCTTCTGCCTGGGAACTATCTAAGCAGTCTGAGCCTGGTAAACTTTCCTCCTTTAAGTCCTCTCCCCAGGTGTTAGGTGACCTCGAGTGGCCCCCGCTCTGCCCTCCACAGGAGTTCCTTCTGTACTTCTGACTCCTCCTCCTCCTTTCAGGGCCACAGCCAGCCCAACCGGACTGTGACAGCTCCTGGCTCACACCTCACTGGCTTCTCGGGGGGCGGGGGATGAAGTCACCCCACCGTTGAGGCCCTGCGGCCTGGCCTCTGTCCCATCCTCGGTCCCTTGCTCTGCTCTGGTCACTCTGTTCCTTATCTTGGTCTCACCTGCTGCCAACTCCCACCCTTCCCTGGGTTGGGAGCTTTCCTAGGACCTCTTCTCTCAGCCCCAGCAGCAGTGCCACCTCTGACTGCTGACCATGTAGTCCCCTCCTCTCCAAGCACTCTTGACTCCTTTGAGCTTGGCCCCTGGACTATGAGCCCGGCCCCCAGAAGGCAGGCGGTGGCCATTTCAGGGCCCCACTTGGTGTCCAGCATGGTGCCTAGTGGGCTAACAGGAGCCTCATCCATGGGGTGGGAGGAGGGTGGCCTGATATGGGTGTCCAATGGCTTTGGCTCCGGGCAGCAAAACTGAATCCTGCCAGCCTGGCATGGCTCACAGGAGCCCTGTGCTAACCAAGTAGCTGTCAATCGTCACCAGTTGCTGTGCAAATATTGGGTGAGTCCTTCCCACAGGCTTATCTTCAAGGGATAATCAAAACCCAGGAATGCTTTCCAAAACCCAGTGCCACCACCTTGTCTGCTGGGGAGCCCCTGGTGCGCCAGGCCCTTTGGCTCACTGTCCCTGCTAGCTGACCTACGCGCCCCACCCCAGCATCCTGCCTTCTGCTGGGGCCCTTACCTTGGATGGGGGAGAAGAGCGCAAAGATGAGGGGGCAGGCCAGGACCACCACTTGGCCCCGGGGGGTGGCTGGCCAGCAGGTGAGGTTGTCCCACATCCGGCCGCAGCCTGTGGGGTAGAGGCAGAGAACATGCTGGTCACCAGGTGGCCAGGGACAGCCCCCAGGCACCCCTGTTCTAGCTCTCTACCAGGCTTCCCCTCGGGTCCTCCTCAAGGGGTTCAGCGCCTGCTGGGGGTGTGGTGAGCACAGGAAGCATCTCATTTCATAGCAGTGGGGCCTGGCCCAGGCATCTGGTGGGCAGGCACGGGGTGCCAGGCCTGTGCAGGCACAGTGAGGAACCAGGTCACAGAAGGGACACTGTGTGTTGGTGTTGGTGAGCACCTTTGGCCACGAGGCCCGCGTGGGCTCCTGCTCCACTTTGCATCTAATCCCACAGCGTTCACTGCTGGGCTGAACACATTGGGCCTTTACGAAGCACGAGGCCAGGTGAAGGACAGAAGACGGTTTGTTTGGGACTTAAGCAAGAGCTGTTCAGTGTTTTGGAAAATCATGTCCCAACAGCAAGGTTGGCTGGGATGTGTGAGTCACGGCTAGAGCTGCCTGTATACATCAATCTGCATTTATGGTGCTCCCACTCCTGGCGTTTGTATTTATAGGTACAACCTTCAGACTGTATCCTCTTATCTCCCAGTGCAATCATGCCTGAACATATATAGATCTTTTTATTATAGCCATTTTTTCTTTTACATTACAGCTAGAGCATCATTTTCTTTTGGCAGCATGAGGAGTGGCTGTTAGTTGTGTGGTTTGCTAGAAAATTGACATTTTGATTTCAAAATTCCTATTGCAAAATTATCAGCCGTGGCTTTTAACTTTTCAACAAATCGGACAGACTCCACTCTGCAGACACAGATGAGGCTGCCATTCCACATCCAAAAACAAGACCTGTCCTGAGAGGGCCTGCTGGGGACCGCCAGCATCTTAAAAAAGGGCCATATGTGTGGGTTCTGAGTTTCACTTTACAACAGGACAGGCAACAGTAGAAAATGCTTGTTATAAAAGGAGATGTTACGGATGATGAGTAGATTGGGGTACAATCTAGTTCTTGTGAGCCTTTGAAAACCCACAGCTCAGTGAGGCTGTGAGTGGTGATGGGGGTCCAGGCAGTGACCCCCTCCACAGAGCTGGTCCTTGTGGGGCCGTAGGGCAGGGCTCAGGGTGTCCTCACAGGTTTGCTTTGCCAAGCAGAGGCTGACCAATGCTGGGCAGATGCATGGTGCCCCTGCGGGACAGGACTACTCCAGACCCCCTCCCCGGGGAGGCTTAATTGTTCCTCTACAGCCCAGGCCCATAGATTTGCTCAGGAAACCCAACCCCGGAGCCAAAGTCAACGCCAGCTGGGCCAAGCCCAGCCCAGCCCAGGTCCGAAGGTTCACAAGTTCCCAAGCAGGGGGCCTGGGAAGAGTAGTGGAGGGCCGCCCCCCTTGGGGAAGTGCCTTGGGGCAGGGGGGGCTAGAGGGGCAGTGCAGGTGGAGGCGGGCAGGTGGGTGGCTGCAGGTGGCACCTGCAGCTGGAAGCCGAGGACCGCACCTGTGTCCCGGGGCCCCTCGGGGCCTTGCTTTGTCCCTCCTCTGTTCTGGGGCAGCCCCTCCAGGCGTCATGGGCCCCTCATCAGATCTTCCCGCATCAAAGCCAGGGGCTGCGGTCTGGGCCCTCGTGAGTTATGAACACAAACTCTTCTGCGGCCTTGGGATGCACCCAGCACCGCTCTAGCTTTAAGTGAGCAGCTGTTTAACCCTTCCATTTCTGATGGTGAAGCTGAGACCTGTGGTGGGGTCCAGCCGAGGTCACACTGCCGCTGAGGGGTGCAGCCTATTCCCCACGCTCGCGGGTGGGAAGGTCGCCAAGGAGTTTCTCAGGGTATCTGCTGCCTCCAGGCTCTGTCTATGCCTCTCAGTGGCACTGTGCACACCCCGCATGCAGACTCCTTGTTGTATGCAGTGCCCTCCTGGCCTGGGCTCTGACTCTCTGGAGGCCTATGCAGGCCAGGAGGGGTCTGGGGCTGGGTGTCTGTCCCTCTGTGGGGAGAGATGAAGGTGGCCTGGCCTTCAGGGAAGAATGGCCACATAGCAGGCCAGGCCAGGCTCGATTTGGGTCAGCAAGTGGGGCAGGGGGCTGAGGCAAATGAGCCACCACAGACCCAGGGCAGCCAGGAAAGTGCTTGTACCCAGAGTGGCCCTGTGTTCCCATAGGGGGGCACAGGAGCCTGGGTGACCAAGGCATCTGTCTGGTGTTACAGAACTGCTCACAGCCGAGGACGCCCATCCTCCAGCACACGTGTCCTGCTGCCCTGTCTTCCTGACCAAGACACTCATGGGCACTGACAGGGACACCGAAAGGTCCTGACATGGACATGCACCCCCAGCTCAGAGCTAGACCCAGGGACAGACACAGCCCCAAGAGATACAGGCCAGAGCACCTGCATGGGGCCACGCCAGGCCTCACGGTCCTGCTGGCCTGTGGACCCACGCTGCCCTCCTCCAGGCCAGGCTGCTGCTGAGTGCAGGGTGTTGGCACTCAACAGGCACAAGTGCCAGGAGTGACCTCATCAGGATCACAAGGTGGCCTGGCCTGGGGCCGGCAGGAGCTGCCGTGGGAGCCTGGGATCTGTGCCCTGTCCTGGCCTGCTCCTGTCCCAGACCTCGGTCTCAGCCCCAGAGATGAGCCGCCCTGCATAGGCACCCATGGGTGAGGCCACACACACTCACTGAAGGGCATGGGAAGGAGAGGGCTGAGAAGAAGGATGCAGGCAGGGTGCGGCTCTGTGGCCCCAGAGAGGTGGCAGGAAGCTGGAAGTCACCGATGTAAAGGGTGTGTGCTGCTTCGGAAAGAGGTTGTTAACCTGTCACCTGCCTTGGGGAGCTGGCCAGGGTAGGGAGGCTCCCTTCCCCGTTCCCACCTCCAACCTCTGACCTCGGTGCCCTCACCCTTCCTAACCTGACTTGAGCCGGCTGCCTGACCCAGAGGAGGGTGCTGCCTCCTGTGGTGATAGCCTGGGCAACGGGGCACCCTCTTCCTGCTGCCTGGCTTGGGGGGAGCTGGGTGCATCAGCTGCTGAGGGGCCGTGTGCGGCCTGGGCGTCACTGCAGGGACGGGACCTAGGGAGCGTGGGCAGAGCCTGGTCCCTCCCAGACCTGTCGAGTGTCCCTTCTTGCTCTGCACAGCCACGATGGCTCCTCGTCCCCTTCATTCCCAGCCTGGGACCTGCCTGTCCCAGGGCCAACCTTCTACCATGTCACAACCCAGGCTCATGTCCAGGTAGCAGCATCTCCACTTTTCCCAAAGCATCTGGGGCTTGATAGAGCCATTCCATGTCCTGCCAGCTGCTGGCTGGGCCCCAGCTGTGGGCTGTGTGCGTGGACGTGTACACAAGCGTGTGAGTAACATGGAGGGCTAGAGCCTCCTGTCTGTTCCCAACCGCTCTCACCAGCCAGCAGCTCTGGGTACAGTCAGCCTCGTGCATCCCATGTGCTCAGCAGGGAGGGAGGGGCCTGGGCCCTGGGCCCTGCCGGCAGCAGCCCAGGCACCTGGGATCTGAGCCCCTTCCCCATGGCTCTAACCTGCGGCTTCAGTCTCATTGTCCACCGGGGTCTCCTGTAGACACTCCTCCTGCTGCCTCTCGATCTGCTGCAGGTAGTCGCATCCACGTTGCAGCTCGGTTTCCCAGCCGCTCTGGGGACAGAGGGGATGGAGGGGCCCGGTCAGTTCAAGGGCAAGCTGCTCCTGTGCTGGGAGACCCAACTTTCAGACCAAACCTCACGGCAACCCAACTGCAGGCCTCCCAAAGCCACTGGATCCCAAACATGACCTCAACCCTCCAGAGACTGAGCCCCAGCTCTCGCTCCAGACTGCAAGCTGTCCAACCCAGCCCAGCCCAGTCCAAACTTCATCTGCCTAGGGCTGGACCCGACCTGGACCTGGACCCAGCCCCCTGGGGTGCACAGCGCCCGAGCTACTGTGCCTTGAGAGCACCGTTATGCTTCCTGGTGGCTTCCCCTCAGGGCTGCTGTTGTCAGAGCCGTGGCTCTGTGTGTGGCTGACGCTGCACAGCGGTGCAAGGGCTCTCCTGCGAGCCCTGAGCTGCCCGCTGGCTTGAGTTCCCTGACCTTGCCTCGGTCTCTTGAACATGTGCACCCGCTAGTGCTACTGCATTACAGGGAGCTGGATCCTGGCCTGCAGCCCCTCAGCCGGGCTTGGGTAGAGTCCAGGAGTCCGTTGCACGTCCCCACCCCAGGAGCCAGTGTCAGCCATTTGATCCCCAAAATGGAGTAGGGACCCAAGCCCTTCTAGGCCAGATTTCACCCGTGTCCTGCGTTCCCAGCAACTCAAGCCACTCCAGATCTACCCAGGGTCAGGAGGCTCGAGGGCGTGATGGGCCCCTCTAGGAAGTCTCAAGATCACCAGGCCCTCTCCGCCTTCAAAAGGGGGACAGAAGGTTGGAACAGCCCGGCATCCTCCCTGCCCTGCCCTGGCCTGCTGGGGCACAGCATGTGCCAGGACGTGAGGCAGTGGGAGGACAAGTGTGGAGGTGATGTTGTCTAGAGAAACCAGACAACCAGGCCTTGAGAGCTCTTGGGTGGGAAGTGGTGGGCAGTGTGGACCGGGGCTGTGCTGCCTGACCTTCTGACCACAGGGAAGCAGCAAAAGGATGCATAGTTTTCCTCATCTGTACCTGGGGAAGAGGACAGTACAGTCCCCACCAGGGCTGAAGTCAGAACCCAGCAAGACCTTTCCAGAACCAGAGGTTCTCAGGGTCTCCTCAAATCTCTCCATCCTAGAACAAGGTCCTTGTCTCCCTGGGTCTCAGTTTCTCTGTAGGAAAAACGGGCTCCATCTACCTCCACTGCTGACATGAATGTGTCTTGAAGTGGGCTGGGGGAGGAGTGTAAGTGGGGGTTCCCTTTCATTTTCTTCTTTTACTGACAGGGGTCTGCAGGCACCAGAATACCTAGCACCGCGATGGCTGCTCTGAGTGTCCACCACGGGCAGCAGAGAGCTCTGCATCGCTGTTGAGGCAGACGGCTCCAAACTGAGGCGAGCAGCTGCCTAGCGAGCCGCCCAGCCGAGATTCCTCCACCCCAACTCCCTCCTCCCCTGCTGAAGTGGAGCTCACTGCCTCTCGGGTCACCCAGAGTCCAACTTCACCCCACGGAGCTGGCACTATGGCTGGTTTGGCCAGGCCCGAAGAAGGCCTCTTCATCTAGGATGCCTTCCAGAGTCTCGCAGCACGCAACCCCCACTGACTGTTCGCTGCTGGTCCAGAAGCCACAGGAACACAGGGATTGTACCTTGGACTGTTACCTCTGCCAGTCCACTATGGTAAAGTCAGGAGCTGGGAAGTCCTATAAGGCTTGGCATAGTGGAAGCCACATGCACTATCATGGAGCAGGGCAGCTACTCGGGTAACTACTGAAGGAAAAGATACCGGCCTTAAAGGGAAGGTGGCACCTGTGTGTTCTCTTTCCCATAAGGAAGTGCTCACAAGGCTGCAGGAGACAGGATCTGTGCTGGTTCATCCTCAGCTGTGGGAACAGGGTGACCAGGTGGATCCCAGAGGTGGCCTGGGAGAGAGGAACCTGGGCCCTGGCCACTTGGCTTGTGTCATGTCCTAGCACTCCCTCGCTTGTCTTGAAGCGCATGTCTCCTGCAAGTGCCTTCCCAGCCCTGCCACCTACCAGCCACAGAAGTCTCCCCACCTCTGGCCCTTTCTCACTCTCCTGATGCTCCCGTCCCTGCTCCCCTCCTGCGCAGGGCAACACAAAAACAGGATGGAGGTAGTGGGCGTCTGTCTGTTCCGTTTCCTGCCATTCTTTCCTCCTCTGGGTGCCATACCCCCATCTCCACCTGTCCAGGAAGCAACCTCCTCCCCTGCCGCTGACCCCGGGGTCTGCAAAGCTCTCTGCCAGGGGACTGACTTGTGATGGAGGCCCATGTCTGGGCTCTCCTAGCCACACTGCGTGGCACCTGGCTGGAGTCGGGCTGCACAGATCCGAAGGCTACCTCCTGGGACGTGGGATTGGGCTGCCAGCAAGGGCCTGCTCTTCCCACCAACTGGGGCCTTCACAGGATGGAGCTTCTAGTGCCATCTTGCCACCAAGTGGGACATGATAACAAAGGCCACCTAACTCATAGCAGGAAGGAGAAAATCCAGGCCCTTGCCGCAGCCGTGCCTGCCACGGGCGCTGTCCCATAGCATGAGCCAGTGTCTTTACTCGGGACTTGAGCACGTCAAGTATTCTGTCCTGGTAACCCAGTGTCCAGCCTTGTGTGTGGACAACCGATGCCTTTCCTTCCTGGGCCTGAAGCCTGGCTATAGCCACGCCCTCTCCTGAGAGAGATTTCTTCTCCAGTCACTGTGGGACCCAGGGTTCCCAGCAGCTCCTGCCTGCTACTCTCTGAGGGCGGAAGGACGGGATCAACTTCTCCAGCCAACTCTACTCCTCCAGCGGTGCGGCCACAGAGCCCTTCCTGCAAGGCAGCTGGGAGAGGACAACGGCTGTGCACAGGAGCCCCCGGGGTGACCCAAGAGCCCAGGGGGTTTCTGCATCGAGTGAGGGGTGGTCTAGAGGAGCTCTGTGTGCCCCAACTTAGCCCCATGACCGGTCCCATCTGGAGAAGGGTAGAGGAGATGGCCCACAGGAGGACCTGCACATATTCCCAGATGGGCCCAAGACTCTGACCCCTGGTCTGGATAGCATCAACGCTTGTGCACAGTCTTGCCTCGGGCCATCTGGTCAATCGCTGTCCTCTGAGGGCCAGGCCCAGGGCAGCTCCCTCTAGCCCTTATCACGGAGGAATCCAGGCAGACTTTGGACTTCCTCTCCCACTTACTTCCCTTTTCTAAACATCCTCATTATCCCTCTGGACTCCAGGCACACACGGAGCACTGGAAAATTCCCTGGCCAAAGATGGCCAAGTCTACCAATCCCAGAAAAGAGCGTGGGGTGGGATGTGGCCGGAGGGTAAGATTCATGCAGAAGGAAGGAAGTGGAAGGTGGTGGAGGGTGCCGGGGTCAGAGAAGTGGAAAGCGGGAGTGGTGTGTGTGCACTCGCGAAGCACTCGCGTTCGCACTGCACTTGAAGTCTTCTGGAGATACAGGCAGGGGTGGCATTGGCAAGGCCTCAAGTGCTACTTTCAGAGAGTGCTTCAACTCCTGGGTTGGGGTGGGCACATCTGAGGCAGGATGGGAGATGCACACTTAGTAAAGACTTACCCACGTGGCAGATGGTGTGACCCAGGGGACCATGAGTCCCTCTGGGGAGCAGAAGTCTGGGGACACCAGAGAAAGAACTTTCTGTCTGCAGATTGCCCAGCCCTGGAGGCACAGGAATGACTTGTGCTCCTGAGCTGTGCAAGGAGAGGGCCCATTTCTCTGCCTGGGACCAGCCTGGAGGCTCCGCGAGAGGAGCAGGGCTGGATGCTCAGAGCACCGTCATCTGTCCCCTACCTCCAACATCTGTTTAGGTCTCCCCTCCTGAAATCCAGGGCAACAGAGCGCTGGGGAAACCAAGGCTGCAGAGAGCCAGCGTGTGAGCAAAAGCCATGGGTGTGGTAAGGGGGAGGCACAAAGGGATGAGAGGAGAAAGGGGCAGGACGTGAGGGGGCCAGGAGGGCCGGAAGGTGAGGCAGATCACAGAACCCAGGAGGAGAGGCAGCTCCCTGCTTCATGGATGGCACACAAAGAAGCTGAGAAAAACCTCACCTTCCTGAGGTGAAAGGGCATGAGGATCTCGCTGGGGCAGCAAACAGAAGCACAACGACTAGATCTGGGCAGGGGCCACACCCCCAAGCAGTCCTGACAATCCAGAGCCGCCACTCAGATACGTGCATCAGAAGCTGTCTCTGAGGTTACAGGGCAGTGTGTGGCTTCCACGGCCCTCTGGAAGAAGAAGTGCTTCTCAGGGTGGAGGTGCTCACCTAAGCCCATTTGCGTCCAGAATGAGATGGGCGCTTCCTTCTGGGGACTTCAGGCAGCACCCATAACTTCATCTGTGAAATGGGAGCAGTCGCAGCAGCACGTGCTACTAGGACTGTGCTGAAAGGTGCACGGAGAGGACACAGCCTGGCAGGAGAGGCTGCCTCCACGGGTGAGCAGCATCTGCCAGAGCCCCAGCCTGGCCCCTGAGCCCAATGCCCTGCGCACACCCTGGCAGGCTAGACGTCCGACCCGCTGGATGGGTGTCCACCGGCACAGAGCTCCAGGTCTCTTCGTTCCCTCACCCCTGGTACTGGTTTCTCTTCTTTTTCCTGTATTTTGCATCCCTTTGCCTGCAGCCTAAAGACTCTGCTTGGTGCAAACCCAGATTTGGCAAACCACATCCCTTATGGGGGGCAGTCTGAGCTGTGTGTGGAAGTGGATGGGAACCGGGTGTGCTTGCACGTGTGTGTGCAGTGAGGAAGATCGGGAGCTGTAGGGTCAAAGTTCTGTTCTGTCCTGGGGCAGGATTTCCCAGAGCCCCAGCAGCCCTGACCAAGGGCTCTCATTATTAGCAGGGCCTGAGAAAACACCTTCAGCCTATTACCGAGCCCCAGTGCTGCTAGGAGGGGTTCTTTTGGGGACTCAAAGCCTTCTGGCCTAAGTGGTGAGCTTGAGTCCTCCTCCCTCCAGAGATCCCTGGGCATCTCTGGGAAGGAGGGTCTACAGGACCCCATTAACAGTGCCTGGGTGACGCTGGGATGGGGGCACCAGCAGAGTCAGCACTGGCGTGGGTGCATGAGGCTGTCCTTGGCGCATGCAGCTGCCTGGCGACCTTCTCCTCTCCCTGGTGACCTGGTGTGCAGGAAGAACATGATCTGGAGTTGGGCAGGAGGACACTTCTGGAGAGACAGGGATCCTCGTACCGGAGCCATGTAGAAGGGGACCCACATGAGCTCACCGTGACAGCTCACTGTGTAGCCCCCAGACACAGACTTGGGGACACTGAATGCTAAGTGGGAAGGCAACTCATCTTGGAGTTTCGTCAGTTCTGCGATGGTATCAAATTATGTGGGCACATATCTTTTGGTTTTAGATATACATCTTGAATAACTTGGCATAAAAGGTCAGGATGTTTATAATTGACCTTAACATACTCTAGCCAAAAAAGCAAATAATGCAAACATGAATTGTCCAGTGTCAAACCTAGGAAGTGGGCATTTGCATGTTCATCATACTATCTTTCTACCTGCTTTATCTGTTTGAAAACCTTAAAAGCAAAGCAAAACAAACCCCAAGCACCAGTACATGTGGTGGAAAGATTAAAATGTCATTCGTCTTCCGAAGTGGAGTAAGGCGTGGGAAGGGGGACGTGCTGCCATTTCCCTGCGTGCAGGGAATACCTGCCTTTGTTAGGAGGCCAGGTGAGGGGAGGGGGTCTCCAGGCTCCTTTTGTCATCAGCCTGTCCTCACTGTGGCCTGTATCGGGTGCTGCGCTGGAGGAGCTGGCGTGCTCAGGCCTGTGACAGTGCTGCAGCCCTGGCCCCGTCACCATGGGGCTGCCTGTGGTGTGAGGCCCATCGCCTGTCAACTCTCTGGGCCTGGCCCCTCCTGGCCACCTCCCTTCCCCTGCTCCCAGACGGGGCACTCAGGGGATGCGTGACCTGATGTTGCCCCAGCATGTTTATCCTTCTGTGCTCCCAGAAGTGTGCTGGGACCCAGGGCTCCAGTGAAGATGGCACGCAGGGGCACGGATGATGGTGCCTGGTTGGGCGGTGCAGCTGCCCTCCCCAGTCTAGCTCCATCCTCCTACTTCCTGCTTCCTGGGCCAAGAGTTGTCAGCTCCCATTATGAGGTAAAGAAACTGAGGCTCTGACTTTGGAGTAGGATGGAGAGGAGGCTTCCTGTCTTCAGCCGGGACTCTCCAGGGAAGGCAAGTTTCAAGTGTACCAGCACAGAGGTGGAAACCTCCCCAAGAGCTCCCTCTTCTGGCATGGCTGGGGCCTGGCAGCCCAGGGGCCACAGCTTTGCTCCTGAGCAGGTGGCCTGACCCTGTTGCAGCCATATCTCTAAGGCCAGCAGGGTGGCCTTGGGGGTCAGTGGCTCTGCAGAGCTGGCATCAGGGCAGGAGCAAGGGGCTGGTGGTCAGGAAGGGCCTTCAGGAGCAGACAGCAGTGCCCTGCTGTGCCAGGAGCCACCTTTGCCCCTGCAGCGCCGAGGGCTCCCCTCTTTGTGGGCTCAGGCCACAAAGCGGTAGCCTTATGGGTGGCACTGTCCCACTCAGTCGTCCCTGCTGCAGTTCTGGAGGGCTGTCTCCAAGTCTGCTGCATCCCTGGCTCAGGACCCCTGGCAGAGAGGGGCTGCTGGCGCTGCTTGCCCTGTGCTGTGCCTTGGTGAGGTGAGGAACTCCGGGCCTGCTCTCCTGGGCAGGGTGGAAGTCCTTGCTGGAGGCCCCGGGAACGCTTCCTCCTGAGAGACACTGGATTTTCTTTCCTTTTTCGCTTCCCTGTTTGGAGATTTCCCCTTCCAGGCTAATGTCAGAGCCATAAACAGGAGCGATAAGGCTTTGAGCCTTCAACTTGAACTTTGCAGCTGCTTTATGACCCCCTCCAGGGGAGGCTGGAGCAGTACTGCCTCATGTCCACTCAAGGGCCAGGGACATGGGCCCCTTGCTGCAGCCTGGCCTCTCCTCATCCTGGCTGGGCCCCTCCTCACCCTGTGGGCTCAGCCCTGTAGAGCGCTATGAGAAATGAGGAAGACCAGAGCCTCAGTCCTGATCCCTTAAGAGAGACCAGAGACACTCAGAGCCAGAGCTGCAGGCTCAGGTCAGAGCCCAGAGAAGCAGGGGGGTCTCACAGGTATCAGGGGATGGGGATTCAGCCCATGGTCAAAGGTCTGCCTCTGGGCCAAGTAATGAGTGTCCTGTCCCCAGAGTGTGGGAGACACCAGCAAGGTGGAGACACAGATTTGTGCCCTGGTGGGGATCACAAGGAGCGACTATGGGACAGAAAGGCCAAGGTCTCTGCCCTCTCCAGGCAGTGCTGAGCCACTTCCAGTGCGCAGCCTGTGGCACTCGGGGCCCTGTTCAAGCTGCAGCTCAGGATGGCTCTGTGCCGGGCGAGGGGAAGGTCAGCCTCTGCTGGGTTAGGGCAGACAGGGGCTCAGGAAGCCCCAGCTCTCCCATGCTCTCCCAGGAGGCCCAGCGCCTGCCCCGGGCCCTGGCGAGCCATCTCAGACACCCACACGTGGGCACAGGGCCCCTGGTGCCAGGGACACACATAGCCCTGGGAGAAGCAGAGGTGGGAGGCGAAGGCCAGGCAGGTTGGGCACACTGGGCCCTCCAGCTGGACCCCACACTGGCTACCCACTGCCACCCGCCCCGGACCCCAGGACTTCTCTGCTGTCTCCTAGCGGGAGAGAACAGAAGGTCTAGATACACAAAACGCCACGGACACCGCAGAGCGGGGCTAGCACCAGAGTCGGGAACACCCCAACGGGAGACAGCCCAGATCGTGGGGCACCCAGACCCAGAGACGCCCCCAGCCGGGGTCAGCCTAGACGCGCACACCGACGCTCCCTGTCCACGCCACCCCCAGTCTCCCTCCCATCCACGGCGACTCTTCTACACCCACGGAGCCGCCTGAGTACTCGGGACGCCAAGCGGGGACACCGGGCATGACCGCACCCCCACCTGTCGGGGGTCGGCCCGCGCAGAGACAGAGGAGAGCCCGCAGCCGGTGCCCGCTGTCCTGTCTGCGACTCGCCTCGCACCCCGCACCCCACCCGGGACACCCACTCACTGCGGCGCCCAGGGCGCAGGCGAGCGCGGCGAGCACGCAGGGCCAGCGGGCGGGCGGCGGGCGCATGGTCGCGAGCGGCGGGGACGGCGGCGGGTGCGCGGTCCCGGTTGGAGTCTCGGGGGCGGGACCGCTGCTGACGGGCGGCGGGCGCGGCCAATGGGCGCTTGGGGGCGGGGCTCCGCGCAGGTGTGGGCGGATCCGGGGTCCCCAGGCTTGAAACCGCCGGCCGCCACCTGCGTCCCGCCAGCGCGGCGGAGCGGGCACTCGCCACCGGCTTCCTCCTCTGGGTCCTGTCGCGCCCCTCCTGCTCGGCCCCACAGTGTCCCCCTACTCCCACGGGCCCTTTTTGTCCCGCCAGGTGCCTGGGCTTGACCGCCTACGGAGCGAGTCCCCAACGCTGCGCCTCGGACTGGGGCGCTGGTCTGATCCTTGGCGCGCAGAGGCTGGCGGGGAGTAGGGCCGCTCGAGTCCACTTGTGCGGAGGTTACGGGCTCTGGGGCCCGGAGCAAGAGCTGCAGCGCCCCCCTGCGGGGAGCGACGTCCTGAGATCTGCTTGTCCGAGGGGCCCGACTGCGAGCACCCCTTTCCCCCGGTCCCAGGCTCATCCCTCGCCCCGGCCCGCGCGCGGGTTGTGACTCTGGGAGGCCCACGCAGCACGGTGGTGCGGGGGTCCGTGGGCAGTGCTGGGAGGCGCGTCCACGAGACATGGCTGGCTCAGGGCTTCCTGCCTCTCTTTGGCCCAGTGGTCCCCACACAAGGCTCACGATGCCATTCTGGGCAGTGGTGACCTCTGCTGGCCTGGTGTCCCAGGAGCCAAGGGTGTGAAGAATCGGCTATTGTCCCCACCTAGTGCTTGTCTCCAGGCCTTCGATGTTTGCCTGAGAACGGGATCTGGGCACTTGACAGTGGGTCTGGGGAATGTAAGGATCCGGCATAGGAGGGAGCCAGACACCACATGGCCACGGGACCCTCCCGGGGGACACGGGCAGGGCAGGGGAGTGAGAGAAGGCTTGAGGCAGCCAGCCAGAAGGGCTGTCCTCAGGGCTGATGGCCAGCTTCGAGGGATCGAGTGCCCACACCTCCTGGCCCGCTCCTCCGCCCGCTCCTCGCCAGAGAAAGGTGGCGCAGGGAGCTCGGTTTTCCCACAGAC